CACTTCACTTCACAGGTAAGTTGGAAGGTGACTACATCTATTTCCAGGTTTAGATATTTTAAGAGTAAAAAATACACAGTTTTGCTTTTTTTTTTTTTTAAAGTATTTTAATGTCACTTAACTGCAGCATTGTTGAATTGTCAGCAACATTGGAAATAGCCTAATTATCTCTGAAGGAGAAATAAAATTGCTGTATTTTAAAAGTGGAATATTATACAACATGTAAATAATTCAAAAGTACACTGATTGACATGGTTAAATTTCTGTCAAGTAATGGTAATCAAAAAAGCAGAGCTATATTGTTGTAAATTTAAAGCCACAGAATTCCAGATATATACATATGAAAATATGAAATAGTGACTAATCCAAGATAGGGTCTGAAGTCCCCCTTTTCCTATTTAAATGATAAAATTATCTTAAAATTAGCTCTGAAACCTTTTCTTGGAAAAAGTTCTGCATGTTGCTGACCTGTGTTCTCTTTTCCATTTGCAAAACAAATCTTGAATTTCACAGAGAGCGAAGATGCTATGGCAAACTCTTCCTCTAACAATTATTATTTCGTTGGCTCACTGCCCTTGACAATTAGGAGAAGATTTATAGACATGTCTCCTGAATAATTGGCAATTAATTTGAGATTAGATGCCAAAAAAGTACAGTATTTCTAATGTAATGCGAAGGTTGAGGCTTTTGGCTTATAAATGTCACGGAACACAGAGTAAATGTTAACCGGCAGCTTAGTTAACCCTGCCCTTTTGCACATCCACAGTAGGGAGGAGTTTTAGTTTGATGATCATAAACTTTAGTTAGCTTGGCTAGTTTGATTGTAAAGCTCAAGTGTAAACAAAGAGTGTCTATGAATTAAGAATGCTTCCAGTCTCAATGCCCCAGGTTCATCTTCATAGGTATTGACTGTGATTCATAAGGATCTATGTGGGATAAAGAAATATTGTATCCTGAGTCTTCTTTGGATTTTTGTTTTGGAGTCATAAGGACCTGTTTGAGACAGATACCGAATCCTGAGTCTTTGGAATTGCTTCTGACTTAGGCAGTGTTACATTTGGATCCCATAACATGTTTACAACTTACAGCTCAAATGTTAACTGTTGGTGTGTTTTTATTGCACAGAAACAGAGCTCTGGTCTCCTAGGGGAATATAAATCCTAGGTTCTAGGCAATGGGGATTTTGCTGATAAACTTTCTTGTCCTTGTGGTCAAATTCAAGAATATTTAGACCTAGAAGTAGAGTTGGCCAGCATGACTATCCCATATCAGTAATTTACTAGTTGATTTTATTTTCTGAATAATTCCAGTGAAGTGACAGTTCAGTTCAGTTCAGTCGCTCAATCGTGTCCAACTCTTTGCTACGCCATGGACTGCAGCACGCCAGGCTTCCTTGTCCATCACCAACTCTTGGAGCTTGCTCAAACTCATGCCCTTCAAGTTGGTGGCACAGTGCCAGGAGTGTATTAAACCTGTGCTAAATGTTAACCAGTTTACACATGTCAACCAGTTTACACGTGTCCAGAAAATTTTAGTGCAGTAGAGTTTTATTAGAGTCCTGAATATTCACTGGAAGGACTGACGCTGAAGCTGAAACTCCAATACCTTGGCCACCAGATGCGAAGAACTGATTCATTGGAAAAGACCCTGATGCTGGGAAAGATTGAAGACAGGAGAAGGGGATGACAGAGGAGGAGATGGTTGGATGGCATCACCAATGTGATGAACATTAGTTTGAATAGGCTCCGGGAGTTGATGATGGACAGGAAAGCCTAGCGTGCTGCAGTCCATGGGGTCTCTAAGATTTGGACACAACTGAGCAACTGAACTGAGCTGAGAGTTTTATTCCCTTCTGGAAACTCTAGAAGTATCCTTTATTCCAAATTTCCGCATGCTTGTATTTTGTTTCTGGCCATGTAAGTCAAAAGTTTTATGTGCATTTTTTAAAAGTTCATTTTAATTATAATTTCTTATATATTAATTCATAGTTAGTATTTTGTATGAGTATGTATTTGGCCATGCTGTGTGGCTTTTTAGGATCTTGGTTCCTTAACCAGTGATTGAACCAAGGGAGGCCCTTGGCAGTGAGAGCTTGGTGTCCTAAGCATTGGCCCACCAGGGAATTCGCTATGTGTATTTTTAAAAGGTATAACAGTCCGCTTTGGAATGATCTCGGCTCTTTCTCCGTTTGCTTCAGTGGTGGCCCACTCTAGTGATAATCTCCATCTTTTATTAAGTGCTTTCTCTTTGCCAAGTACTGTCTGAATCTCATTTAATCCTTACAAGTCTTGTATAGAGCTGCTGTTACATCAGTGCTCTCTTTTCATAAATGAGAAAAGTGAGGCTCAGAGATTAAGCAAGGCACTTGGGTTCACCAGCTAATAAAGAGTAGAACCAGGATTCACACTCAAGCCTGTCTGTCTTAACCACCAAGATTTACTCCACTCTTCTTTCAGTTTCTCTCTTTAATGAAAAATTGAAAACTAAGCATTAAGAACAGTGCCTACCATATAGTCTTTCAATAATTATGTACAGTTTAAACTTTTGAAATTGATTTTATGATAGTACAGTTTCTATACTATAAAATGTCTCCATTTAGATATACTATTCCGTAAATTTTGATAAATGTGTAAACCTGTGTTATCACTAACAACAATTGAGATATACTGTATTGGAATCACCCCCCAAAGTTTCCTTTTGAGTCCCCCTTTTAAAAAAGTTTTTTGTTTTGATATCAGTGTTGATTCTCAGGAAGTCATAAAAAAATAGTTCAGACTTCTTGTGTATCCTTCACCCTGCTTCTTCCAGTGCTAACATTCTTATATAGCTATAGTACAGTTGCACAGCCAGGAAATTACAGGTATACTCTATAGATTTTATTCGCTGTGTGCTAATCTCTGCCTGTTCTCACTCCAGGTAACTGCTGAACTGTTTTCTGTCATTGTAGATAGGCCTGCTCTGAAGCTTTATATATAAATGGAATCAGATAATATGTTGTCTTTTGTGTCTGGTTTCTTTTGCTCAGCATAATGTGTTTGAGATTCATCAATATTAGTTAGTGGTTTGTGTCTTTTAATTGTTGTGTAGCATCCTGTTGTTTGAATATAATGTAGTTCCGTTATCCATTCAATGTTGACAATCATTTGGATTGTTTTCAATTTGGGGCTATTATATAATGAATAAAGTCACTATGATGATTCATCTATACGTTGTGTGTTTATATGTGTGTACTTGTTTTCACTTCTCTTGCTAACATTGGTTAGTGAAGATTAGTTTATAAGATACTGTCAAATTGTTTACCATTTTAGACACCCACTAGCAGTATATAGAAGTTCCTGTTGCTTCACAGTCTTGCTAAAACCTAATATTGATTTTGCCATTCTGGCAGGTATGTAGTAGGATCTCACTGTGACTTTAATTTGTCTTTCTCTAATAATTAGTGATGTTGAATATCTTTTCATATGCTTAATGCACAATTGTATGTATTTTATAAACTATATATTCAGACCATTTTGGGGGGGTAGGAAATGTGTGTGTGTGTCTTCTTACTTAATAAATATTTGATGTATAATTGAATGATCTGAGATAGAGCTATATGTTTTTCTTTTGGCCACTTGAAATCTTAGGTGTACTACAACTCAAATAAAATAGTTCAAGTTGAGTTTCATTAGTCTATTCTAAAATGATCAACTATAGTAGGGAATCTGGTTTAGAATGTGATACTAAAATAAAGATCAGTAGTTCCTCTCCTAGGCATCATAGCATCTTCTTAACCATCAAAACTTTCATCTTCACAACTTGCTCTTTTTGACCATGGGAAAATTATCTTCTGAAGATGTGAATTTTGTGGTTCACACAGATCCTGCATTGTTTCTCTAATGCTAAAAATGCTCTTAACTAATTTTTATCTTGTCTAAAAACGGAAGGACAATCTTAGCCTTGTTATTTTTAGCTGTCACTGAAGCAGTTTTCTCCATTAAGAATAAGTGTTAGCTATGTTGATCTATAAGCCATCTGCTGATCATGTAGACTATAATTTGTGTTTATAATTTTTAAAAAAAGTTTGGTTACCTACTTCTTTCTGTGATACATTTTGTAATAATATATTTTTTAAGCTTTTGTTTCCGTCTATTAACTGGAGAGAATTAAAAAGAAATAAACACATAGACCAGCCCAGATAACTATTGCTTAAGCAACACCAATTTTTTAAAAAAGTGTGTTTAGTGCTTATAAATCAACACAGAATAGTCAGATCTATCTATCTCTTTCTCTCTGTGTAATGAAGAGTGACGTCTCCTCTTTTATTTCCCAAACTCAAGTCCTTCGTCCTAAAGGAGACTGTTGTTAAAACTTGTTGGTGGTTCTTTCCATTAATACATGGTCTCTCCTTGTCTTTATTCTTCTCACATAAAAGGTCAGATAGTAGTTACCGTTCCACATATTTTCCTGCACTTCCAACACATGAAGATCTAGTGATTCCTGATGGTTGTTTCCAGGGTGTTTTCATGTTTATTTTTATTTATTCACTGTTACAAAAATGTTTCAATGAACAATACTGGAGATTTGGATAGACTTTTGCAAATATAACCATTGAGTAAATTTATTCCAATTGAATCCCTAGTCAAAGAGCATTTTATAATTTGTCAGCTATTGCTAGATTGTCCTCTGTAAGATTTCAGCCATCCACTAATAATGTTTGCAAGTGTCTACAATACATATTTTAAATGTAATAGCCTCTTTTGAATTCTTTGTTATTTGAGTCTCCTAGTATTATGTGAATTGGGACCCCCAAATTAATGCTGTTTCAGTGCTGTTTTATCTTTATTACATTCCTGCTTGCTTTTTCCCCTGCAGAGGAAACCCTAAACTTAAGTCTTCCTGATGACTGAGGGTGGCAGACTAGAATGGCTTCATATGGCTTTCTCATACATGGCTCTCAGGCTGCTCAGTCTCTAGGAAACCTGATGTTTGATGCCTTCTGTTTTATATATTTCCTGTAGGAGGAAAGCTGAACAAAGACCTGCGACATTTTCTCAATCAGAGGTTCCAGAAAGGGTCGCCTGATCATGAGCTCCAGCAGACCATAAGAGATAACCTTTACCGCCATGCTGTGCCTTGTAAGTAGCCAGTTTGGGACATCTTACTGCTGGTGGGTGTATGAAAAGTTGAGGGAAGACAAGCAATGGCTGGTTCTGGAATACTTGGCAGTTTGCTCACTTAGTGACTCCCTAAGTGTAGGGAGTCCAAATTGACAGTGGGGGACTGGCAATCCAGTGGTTAAGACTCCACACTTCCAATGTAGGGGGCGTGAGTTCTACCTCTAGTTAGGACACTAAGACCCCACATACTGCGAGGGGAGGCCAAAAAATGGTAAAACAATGTAAAAACAAGCAAAAAAATTGACAGTGAGACAGAGTACTAAGCCAGGTGAATTACTTGGTTTTTCAAGTCCTGGCTTGAGTATGCCAGACAAATTATTTATCCTTTGTAAGGTCATGTTTTCACAGCAGTGAAAAGGACATCTCACTCCTACTAACTTTACAGAACTGTTAGAAAGTCAAAGGAGTGACATTTGTCAATGTGTTTGTATCATATGGGCATGGTGTAAGCCTCGTAAATGTTAACCATTTTTGTTATGAGTGGAGAGGACAGGCCAGAGGCCTTCAAACTGACCTCTGAGGATTTCAGTAGGTCTCTGGTGTTCCTCAACAAAGGGAATGCCTCAGTGAACTCTCTCTTCCTCCCCACCTTCATGAGATCAATAAATCATGATTTAATGTATGATTTCCTTTGAAGAAAGCCTCTGTGATTCCACAGATTAAAAATCCACAGGTTAAAAATCCCAAAGTTCCAAACCTATTAGATAAGACCAAATCTGAGAAAGCAAGATAATAGAATGTAGGGACTATGACATTGGGAATTTTGTGGTTAAGGGAAAGAAGGAAAGGAGGAGGGAATCAGCCTACCAGATCATGAGGTATTACCATGCTCTACCAGACTACATTCTCATCCAACTCATTATGAGATGAGAATCCTGGGATGACATGTGATTATTTACCTTCATTCAAAATAGGAAGAAAAAAATAAAAAAATAAGAAGAAAGATGATTTTTATTACTTGGGAGTTTTCATTTTTCCTATTATCCAGTCCTTCAAAATTCTATAATTAAAAAAAAATTTTTTAATCACCTAAAAAAAGGCAGAAAAATTTGAAGTTCAAGGTACTCTGCTTATTGCTCTAATTTGTTTGCTATGGATGGTTTTCTTTAAAAGAAGTAATATTTTTCCAGTGATATGCTAGAGTGCTAGTGTTTCCTCATACTACTGCAAAATGATGAACAGAATTGATTTCAGGCATGCCATGGTTCTGCAAGGATTTAGACTGAAAGCATAGCTGGAGACCTTTAGCGATCAGATTTTAAAACAGACCCTGCCTTCCATTTCACCTATTCATAAAACCAAGACTCCCAGAGTAAGAGACTGAGTTGACTGCAAGTGACTTGGGTCAGTGCCCCAAAGTTGCCTCTTTCTACTAAGTGGAAGAGCCACATTTATTTATTTATTTATTTTAAATAAATAAAGAGAGAGAAAATGTGATCATGCATTAATGTGAATCTCTGGCCCCCAGTTCTTTTAATTTTGCATCATTAGTATTGAAAGCCATAATCCTAATAATATCCTAACTGTTCCTTACACTTGGATTAATAATAATAATAATGAAAATTCCTGTGGTTACTCACATGAATGGGCAGGGATTGCCTTTCTATTTTTATAAAAATAAAGAAATCAAGACACAAAGGTAAGCTGATTAAAGCACGGCCAAAGGTGACTAGGATTTCAAGTCATTGTCCTACCTCTGATGTACTGTCCCATTTTACACTTAGAATAGCAACCCTTTGAGGTTGAGGTTTCCAGTACCCATTTTCCAGATGAGGAGACAGTCACAGAGCGATCAAGTAACTGTTACATGGCAGATCCAGGGATTTGGGACTTGTAAGCCATCCAGGGCTATTTCTGTAGCTCGACCATTGCTGCCTCTGAAGTTCTAGTAAGCAGGTTGGATACAGTTTTTCAGAATTCAGTAATTGCAGAATCATGATTGTTCTCTGTGTAATTTTTCCCCTACTCAGATTCCAATTTAAGAAATGGGGAATGAAGCAAATGAGCACACCATTTCTTGACGCATCTGTGGTGTTACTATGGTTACATTTTGGCAAGCTTTTCCATTTATTTTTTCCACTGATTTATTGGACCTGACTGTGAGCTAAATGGCTTGATTTTAAGCTTATCACTCTGTAGGAATTGGGGCAAAATGACCTCAGCTTTTTAAAAAACAGTGGAAAATAATATTTTGTCTTTGCTTATATCAAGCCATTGGTATTGATGTTTCATGTCTATGAAACCAATAAATCAGAAATTGAGAATGTGGAGAGAGTTTTCTTTTTTTTGTTTTACTAAAGAGAAAACAGGTAACATTTCGTTTTATATTTCCTGCATAAAAAAAGGAAGGAAACTCGGAAGAGCTCTGTTTCTGAATCTGGCTCAGTGTGTGTGCCTTTGAACAGGGGTGACATGGGATTCAGTTATGGGCTGAGATGACTGGGGCCACATTTGTGTTTATTTTGGTTCTTTGGCCCATGTGACTGATAGAGCAGAACTCAGTACCAAGCTGTTGTGCTCATGGATGAGGAAGCCCTTGATTGAGTCACGGATCTTTCCAGTGATGTTGTAACTATGCCACAGGGAAATGAGCTCTTGCAGTCTATATTTTCCAGAACTTCCTGCTGCCGATATTTCAGTAACTTTGGTTTTTTGAGAAGGGATGATCTCATGAACAGGTGCTTGCGAGCTGGGGTAGACTTCCTTTTCTGTACATTTTAGGAGGCTCACATGTCAGTAGAAATTAACAGATAAAGCTGTAGAACCTTCTGGGTACCATGATGGATTTTGCCGTTCAGAATTCCATTTTATCCTAGTTTTTTGGCAAAGACAGTGCAAGTTTTGCATCCATATCTTAAGGTAAAAAAGTGAAGTAGCAAATGTAGTTTCCTCAAAATCATACCAGTTCTAATGCCACGTTACTCACTTCTCATCCAGTGCTATTTTTTTTTTCATCCAGTGCTATTTTTAAAAGTGACTTTATTGAAATATAATTCATATGTCATATAGTTCACCCACTTAAATTGTTCATTTAGTGCTATTTTTGCTATAGTCATTATTATTTTCTACTCCTTTTGTTTTGATTCAAAAACATTTATTATTTCCATAGTATGAAAAGGGTCATCATAGATAAAATTTAATTATATTATCATTGAAAATTACTCAGTTCAGTTCAGTTGCTCAGTTGTGTTTGACTCTTTGCGATCCCATAGACTGCAGCACACCAGGCTTTCCTGTTCATCTCCAACTCCTGGAGCTTTCTTTAACTCATGTCCATCGAGTCAATGATGCCATCCAACCATCTCACCCTCTGTCATCCCCTTCTCCTCCTGCCTTCAATCTTTCCCAATCACGGTCTTTTCTAATGAGTCAGTTGTTGACATCAGGTGGCTGAAGTATTGGAGCTTCAGCTTCAGCATCAGTCCTTCCAATGAGTATTCAGGATTGATTTCCTTTAGGATGGACTGGTTTGGTTTCCTTGCAGTACAACAGACTCTCAAGAGTCTTCTCCAACACCACAGTTCAAAAGCATCATTCTTCAGTGCTCAGCTTTCTTTATGGTCCAACTCTCACATGGATGCATGACTACTGGAAAATCCATAGTTTTGACTAGATGGACCCTTTGTTGGCAAAGTAATGTCTCTGCTTTTTAATATGCTGTCTAGGTTTGTCATAGCTTTTCTTCCAAGGAGTAAGTGTCTTTTAATTTCATGGCTGCAGTCACCATCAACAATGATTTTGTTGCAGGAAGGGGGTACACTTCCAGTGCCCAAAAGTCTAACACTTGGAAATGAATTGTCCAAGGAGACACATAGGCTGACAAAGCAAGAGAGTTTATTGGGAAGGGGCGCCTGGGCAGAGTGTAGTAGGATAAGGATCCCGGGAGAACTGCTCTGCCTTGTGGCTTGCAGTCTCTGGTTTTATGGTGAAGGGATTATTTTCCAGGTTGTCTTTGGCCAATCATTCTGACTCGTAGTCCTTCCTGGTGGCGTATACATTGATCAGCCAAGATGGATGCCAGCGAGAAGGATTCTGGGAGTTGGTTGGACGTGTGGTGTCACCTTTTGAACTTTCCCGAACTCTTCCGGTTGGTGCTGGCTTATTAGTTCTGTGTTCCTTACCAGGACCTCCTATTGTAAAACAGATGGTTACTATTTTGCCTGACCAGGTCATATCTGAATGATCTAGTGGTTTTCCCTACGTTCTTCATTTTAAGTCTGAATTTTGCAATAAGGAGTTCATGATCTGAGCCACAGTCAGCTCCCAGTCTTGTTTTTGCTGACTGTATAGAGCTTCTCTATCTTTGGCTGCAAAGAATACAATCAGTCTGATTTTGGTATTAATTATTTGGTGATGTCCATGTGTAGAGTTGTCTCTTGTATTGTTGGAAGAGGGTGTTTGCTATGACCAGTGCATTTTCTTGGCAAAACTCTGTTAGCCTTTGCCCTGCTTCATTTTGTCCTCCAAGGCCAAACTTGCCTGTTACACCAGGTATTTCTTGACTTCCTACTTTTGCATTCTAGTCTCCTATGATGAAAGGACATCTTTTTTGGGTGTTAGTTCTAGAAGGTCTTATAGGTCATCATAGAACTGTTCAACTTCAGCTTTGTCGGCGTTAGTGGTTGGGACATAGACTTGAATTACTGTGGTACTGAATGGCTTGCCTTGGAAATGAACAGGGATCATTCTGTCATTTTTCAGATTGCACCCAAGCTCTGCATTTCAGACTATTGTTGAGTATAAGGGCTTCTCCATCTTTTCTAAGGGATTCTTCCCCACAGTATTGGATATAATGTTCATCTGAATTAAATTCACCTATCCGGTCCATTTTAGTTCGCTGATCCTAAAATGTCAATGTTCACTCTTGCAATCCCCTGTTTGACCACTTTCAATTTACCTTGATTCATGGACCTAACATTCCAGGTTTCTATGCAATGTTGTTCTTTACAGTATTGGAC